CTTATTTTCAATAAACAATCCTGAAAAATATTTGGGGGGTGCTTAACTTTTTTCCAGGTGTATAGATTAATCAATGTTATATAATCAAATTACTCAAACACTGGGATGGGAAAATTCCAAGTCAAATATGTTAAAAGAAAAGCTTTCAGGTTCTTTCAAACACAGTATAGGACAGACACTGGAATGTTCATAAGTATTTGAATTTGATAGCTTGAAACTGATTGAAATCTAAAATCATGAGCAAACAATCATATATCATAGAACGAGTGTACAGATACAAACTAACATAACCACAAATTTCAAATAATAAAATAAATCTGGATAACACTGTATTGAATCACTGCTAAAAATGCAAGAGCTGTTACAAAAAGAATCTATTGTACTAAACTTTAATTTACTCACATTCCTGGTCTGTATGCTGAATTCTACATCAGCTCCCAGATCTAAATTTCGGAATTCTTTACATTCACTTGAGTGAAAAAATATCTGTAAAATAATGTAACTATTAAAGTACTATATTTATAAATTTAAAACTTTATCTTTCATTCTTCAAACATTCAAATTATAATTTGAAACCCACAGCCAGTTTACTTTTATTTTTTTTATAATGCTTTACAATGAAATACTTTCCATGCTTATTTTATATGACAGTAAATCTTTAAGAACAATAAATTAAGATGAATGGAAAAAAATAACCAAAATGTACAAGTAACACTGGCATGGGTGAAATATCTTCTAGCTGCTTTCTCGGTTTAATTACAATATAAATTAAGAAGCTCTAACAATGCATGGTCTGATCCCAGACCAACACTTAATCCTTAAAAGATGAAACACAATAATAATATTATTTTACATTTAACATCATAATATTCAAGACATTCATACCATCTATAAGAAACTAGACCTTTGATGTTTTTGACAAGTAAAATATAGTGACTGATGAAAATTAACAATTGTTTGTCCATTCACAAATTTATTTTATTTAATATTTGAATAAATTACCTTATACTTAATTGAGTGATTCACTTATATGTCTAGAAAAAAAAAATCCAGTGATTAATATATAAAACTTAAAGTTCAAGAAGGATGAATAAAGCAGTTTGAGTCATATGTTTTTACATTCATAAAGAACATTGCAATGCAAAAAAAAGTTTAAAAACCATTAAAAGCATCAATTTAAACAGTACTTATGTACATACAATATTAAACAACAAACACTTAAGCTGAGATGAAAGAAATCAATATCACATAAGAGTGGAACCATAAATAAATAATAAAGTTAAAAAGCGATGTGTTTTGGAGACAAAACACAATAGCTAATTTCATACTAATGTACTCAAGCAGCTGAACTAATATCTTGGTGCAGCAGTTCTCAAAATTTAGAAATACATGGATCACTTTCAATTTAAAATTTTTTTGCAGGCCCTCAAACCTATCAGTTTTTATTTTGTTAATGATTGTGTAGATGAAAATCTGTATTCCAAAATTAAATGATTTAATTTATATAGATTTAATTTTATGAAAAATATTTTTATTCTATAAATCATTTTTTAAAAATATTTTAAAGAAATTTTGCACGACTTTCAGACCCCTTGGAAGACCTCAGTTTGAAAAAAGCTATTTTAGTAATTAAAAACAGTAGTTTGTGGTTTGGCACATAAATTAGTATTATCATTACAAAAAAAAACAGAAAGCACAAACTACAGTTGAATATACATGTTCTTATGTTGTATTTTACTTAGAAAGTGGGATTACTAAACCTCTAGCTATATATATAATCTAATCATCTAGATTGGCCATGAATGTAAAACACCCAAATGAAAAATCTTCTTAGCCCTCTCCAGATGGGTCACAGGACAAAAACCATGTCATTGCATTTGTTGATTTGCATTCAAAATTTTATTGAACTACTATTTCATGAATTTATGTCAATAAGTTTGATATCAAACTGTTGATTACAATTCAAATTTTAGTATTATACATTATCTAATTTCTTAATTTAATAGTAAATATTAAAAAACACAGATAAACATCGATTTTTGTGTCACGTGGTATTTTGAATGCAGCACTGGTTCAAAGTCTATAGTTTTGTATGAATAAGGAACCAATATTGACAAGCTATAATATGAAATAAGAACCTCTTATCTTTTCTATTTGCTCATGTAATAAATCAAACACAGTGGCACCCCAACCACCTCTTTCCATTTTTGGAAACACTCCCTTATATACACTTATTTCTATATATGACATGAATAACCAATTAAAAGCTCAGAATGTCACCCTAGTGGCTTTCTTGGCCATTTCATGTATTAGGACGCCATCTCGTTCTTTCAAACCAAGATTTCAAGTTGGTAGGTTGTGTCTTTAATCTCCTCGAAATTTCATATTTTTTTAGACAAAAATACAGCTTAGTTACTAAGCTTGATAAATTATCATGGAATTCTATGGTATCGATATAGTAATTTATGATTTTTCGGTTATTGAACTGTATATATAAACCCTAAACAAATTATTTGTTCCATATCCTCCACGTGCAAAATTTTAAAAGGCTTAGCAACCTACGTCAAGCAGGAACCGAGTACAAAAGTCATAACTAGAAGAGATAATTGTTTACTTTACTTCTTTATTTACTGTTCTATGTTAAAGAGAAATAAGTTTAAGCACTTATTTCTAAATAGTAATAATCTATGTAGATATAAAATGTATAATAACTGTATTTTAAAATAGTCTATTAAAATACAGCCAAGACATGTCACTTTGTAAAGACTAAAGGTCAGATTTATATTATTGGATATGGTAACATCAGAGCACTTGTGCAGTGTCATTGTAGCTTCTGTATTGTTAGCCAGGCACGGCTGAAAGGTAATATAATAAAAATATATAAATGTACAATGTTACAAGATTTAAGCTATTTAGTCTAAACATTTATGTTTTTGGGTTATAATTTGTTGTCATTTTAGAACGAAAGAGGCATAATTTATATTTATTTCCTAATCTTTATGGTGGTTACAAAATTGGTCAAATCTACCAAACCCATAGAGATTTTTTAGTGAAAATAACAGATAAAATCTAAAGTTTTTTTTCTTAAGATATGTTTGATAACTATCTGGACATTATAAAGATTTTGCTTTTGAAATTTGAAAATTTTCTGATGCACAAAATTTTTTAATCTTAATATGAAAATCACTTTGCATATTGGATAGGCAACATGCAAAGAAAAGGCATGAGAAAAACATTGCTTTAGAAACCTTAAGACTTAATAAAAAAGAATTATACTTTGTGTATGAAAGCATTGTAATGTTCACTGATAATCTGCCAAATTTTGTTAATATACACTTACTAGTTTAAAAGTTATAGCATTAAAACTATATCAAGCACAAAACGGTTATGAGGTTGGTCCCAGAAACCAAGCTCGTGCTGAAAGAGTTAAAGCATGCCTAGTAAATGTTAACACTTTCCTACACTGAAAATGTATTTCTGATAGATACTTACCTTCCCTCACAAAATAGCTTTTCTCAATTAGTACTGCCCTCTGTAATTGAACATAAAAAGCAGAAAAACATGAAGGAAACCCATAATACGTATAACCTATTAATGGGACCTCAGGGTGTCAAGTGGCTAGAGCACAACAGACCACAGTGGTAATTCAACCTCATTCTGGTGGTATCTGGAATTGTCTATTAGTTCTGCAGGCAGAGAATAACCTATCTCTTCACCTCAAAACAGGAAATGGTAGAGAAGACTCCACTTGCACGCATTTCCAACCCAATCAACACTTGATCCACCACGAACCAATATCCAGCAGATGGTGGGAAGGAGGAAAGCATTGGTGGCATTGGGTATGGTTCTTCTAGTCTGCAGTAGGAGGAGGATACCCAGCCTTTACACAAGTGTAAATATACGTGCTGCATCCAGCCACAACTAGCACCGGGTCTGCCAAAAATCAACATCCAGCAAACAGTAGGTAGAGAGACAACAAATCTGGAGTGCATCTGCAGTCCAAAACGACGCAGCATTTGGCATTTTAAATCCAGTACACGGTAGGAAAATGGATACCGACCAGAAAACCTGACCCCTTCTCCCTATTAACCTCATCCGGAGGATAGTATATAGGTGACACGTCTTAGCTTGAGGGGCTTCAACCAAAACCTGGCGGTATCTGGAATTGTACATCGAGTCCACAGTAGGAAGGATGTCATGCCATTGACACTAGACCCACTAGGAATGTACATCTGGAAGATAGTAGAAAGGAGGAATGCCATGGTGGGAAAAATCCATCTGCCAGATATACATATTAATAAGGTGCAATGCTGCAACCAAAACTCAGTGGAACTGTACGTTAGGTTCACGGTAAGAAGAGTCTCAATGCCACAGAGCAGAGATGGCAGCAATCTCTGTCTGCTTTACTCGTGTGTCCATGACTGTACAGTCTGGGACAAATATATATATGAAGCAAAACACCATTAGAGAGAACTACCACTAGTCCTACGGAACACCCCATCTCTACAATGAGTGTAACCTAATCCTGTAACGTAATTGTTTCGGCATAGATGACAATTGAATGGAGACACACAACCAACACCTGGCAGCATCTGGAATTGTACACCAGGCTCATCACAGGAAGAGCTACATAGTAAATGACATCAAGCATGGTCACAGGATAGACAGTGCAGGTTTTCAAAAAAAGATATACCTGGTCAGGTACCATTCGCCACAGAATGGTATCCACAATACACTAGCAAAAAAAGTCCCTGTAAATAAAGAAACAACAAGAACATAATAAAGAAAAACTAAGTCTGCAGTATAAAGGAAAGTGCTGACCAATTTCCGAGCAAAAACAAGCACGTCTGCATAGTACTACTGCCAATCGAGAAATGTTTAATGAGTGCAAATGTGGAGAAGGCACTGGTTACAATAGGGGTTGTGTCATGCTCCTATTGGTGGAGAGCTATTGCATAATCATTTACATGTGGATATACAGAAGTGGGAAGTGGAAAGCCAGTGGCGAGCATTGAAAGAATGCACTGATAGAGGGCAGTACCAATTGAGAAAAGCTATTTTGTGAGAGGAGGTAAGATATGGTATAGGAAATTTGACATGTACAATTTCCAACTCTATATATAAAAAGTATATTTCATATTAATTTATACTAAAATAACATATATTATTATTTAATTAAAATGTATATCAACAGGAGATACATCACACAGCAAGTATAAAATAGTTAGCTTGGCTGTATATTTTGTTTTACCCACCATCATGCCACAAGTTAAACAAAGAATAAGGCCTGGCTAACTAATGAATGAATATTTGCTGTAAAATTCTTATCAATGCTATACGTAACTACCATTTTGGAAGCCAATTTTTATTTCACTCCTTTAAGTCGCACACTCAATCCTTATTTGTCCGCACCTTTCTTTCACACCTAAGGTGTTTTTAATTAGATATGACTTTTTTGTCAATACACACCAACAAATCACAGCAAGTAAGAAAGTGACACTCAACAGTAACCCACATCAGCTTTAGGATTGTAACCCTATTAAATGGAATAGATATTTACTTTACAGAACCAAACAGATTCTTGAAAATATATAGTGGTAGTTTTTCCTCTCTAAAACAGTCTTAAGAGCTTTCTTTATTCTAATGCCATGGAATTTAGAACAGTTTCTTCTCATCATGCAATCAGTACAGTCATATCAAGCATCATTATTTATGCTAATTGTTTAAGCTACTATCACAACATTAAATGCTCTTTAACCCTCTAGCACTGGCTATCCTTTACTGTGCATGTCAAGAGGTTTTAGTGGCTTACATTCAAAATTTTATTCAATTACTTTATGTTTATGTTATAGCACGAAATCTTAGCTAATAATCCATGTTTTAAGTTCTTAATTTTATAAGGCAATATTTAAAAAAATCCTGAACTTCCCTTAGTGTGACATATTTTCTCTAAGCATGTCCTCCTCTTTATTTTATCCATCACCCCTCCAGTAAGTACAAAATTAAACGTAAATTACTCACTATAAAATCGTCATTGCTCAGACAAACCATAATTTTTATAGCCTTCAATTTTGTTTGGTTACAGAGGTATCAAATAGAAAATCAGACCCCTCTTGCCACACAAACTGGTCATATCCTCTCTTTCAGGATTTGTTAATAGTTCTTTCTTACATTTAATTCTATATTATCTATAACCAATAGAAAACCAAGGTTTTCATCTATCAAATGACGTATTATATTACATTGTTTTCTGAAAGAGAATTATGAATTTCTGTGTTAGTACAAGCTTTGTTCCTATGGGAAAGATAACAACCAGCTTGAATAAATTTGTAACAGCTCTTGTTGCATTGTTAGAAAGCCAGAAAAATTGTGATAGTTAGAAAATATTGCCTGCTTTTGCATGTTATTATTCTATGCTCTTTGGTACATTATTTAATTAAATAAAAATTTAGTGTATTACAACAATTAGTATAAAAAAGTAGGGTTAAGTGTAATTGACAGTTGAGAACAAAAAAATGAATACTTGGGTAAGTACTTTATTGTTTTTTCATATTTATTTTTTATTCATTATTATAAAAGTAACCAAAATGTAAAATTATGGATCTCTTTAGGTTATTTATGGGTAAATTAGGTAAAATAAATAATAATATGAAGATAATAAAAATGTTTCATTAAAAAAATATTTTTGTATGTGAAAAACAACGTTTACTGAATGACTGCCAAATTTCGTCTCACACTATGAGACTCCTAACTGTAGTTTGAAAACATCTATCAGTTTACCAAATTTGAAGAAAAATTAATAAAAGTTAAGTATGTTTTTCAATCAAATACAATTTCTGTACTTTTGGTAGGATGAAAAAAAAGTAAGGACACAATCAAATTGGAGATGTTATTTCTCAGGTATTTCTTAATGGATTGTTTTGACATTTGGTATGTGAAGTCTGATTCCAGTAGAGCACATTCACTGAAAGTATGTGATAGTTTGGACTACCATTGTCCAAGATACAGAAGGTATAAAAACACTAAACTATCACTCCATATTTGCAGAAGTTTGTCTTGGCCACACAACACATTACAGTGTGTCTTGATAACTCTGTACTTTCTTAATTTATCTTCATAAAAATTGGTATGATTTTGTTAAAGATTACAATTATTTTGTATACCAAGAATGAGATTATTTTTATCGGGTATTTCCATTAAAATTCGTTATTTATTTATTTAATGTAGTTATTTGCACTCAAACACTGAATATTTCGATTGCAGGTGAGTTTCAGGTTAAGTATGAAAATATTTTTTCCTACCTCATAGTTTCAAATTTCATTTGCATAACCCTTAGAACCTCTTAAATGAATATCAAAAGTTTTTATGGTAAATGTCTGCATTTTATTTTTCACTTTCTCTACCATATTACTAACTATAGCTGTTATCATCAATGTCTAGTACAATTGAATGTTTAAAATTAAGACATAGAAAATAAAAAAAATTACATCCCTTTTAATTTTTCATCAAATAATAATAAAAATCTTATTTACTGCAAGTATTTATGTTTTCACATAGTTTATTTTTAACCCTAACACAACATTCTGCACATGTCATTGAGTTATATTCAAAATTTAATTAAACCTCTTTACTATCAATGTATTTTAATGACATTATTATTATCAAGTACATTATAGTTCAAAATTTATATTATCTTAGTTTTTATTTCTTTATTTCAAAAGAAACATAGAATGCAACAATGAAATCTTGCAGGTTTATGTCACATTATGCACAAGCTATAAACAATGTTGAAATTTAGCAAAGTATATCTTTCTTGTCCTTTTGACATGTATGGTTCAAAGTATGTTTGTTGAATGTAGTTGAAACAATAAATAAATTTTGTCACCCCTGACAGATGACACACCCACATTCTATAGTTTAACATTGAACTTTAGAAGTCACAAGTACTTTCAACATGTATATGTTTATGGTCGTTAAAAATAGCTCATTTAACACTGTACTACAACAATGGTTATTTTCAAATTGGCAGCAAGTTGTTGTCCTTGGGTAGATGTGACTGTTGTACTATTATTGGCTGCTTTGTTCATGATAGTACTTCAGCTGTTTCTCACTTAAATATGTTATAACTAGATAGACAGTTAAATTGCATTTAAGTTTTACTTTTATATTTTAGTTAATTATGCATTATTTGTGTTTTAAAATTCATATTTAAAATGTTTAATAATTTTTAGATAATAACCAAAGCTCCCCCTCGTTCTTGTAAGGCATCTTTACCAATTATGTATAAAAAAGATTTTGCTCAATGCTAAGGTATCTCTGCCATTCATACCATTCTATCACCCATGGGTATCTGTTAATGTGTTTCCATATAAATAGACAAATAGGAAAGAAAATAAAACATTAAAAATAACCTACAAGTGAAAAGGTAAAGACGTGAAATTACACGCATGACCCAAAAAAGATATTTTAATATTATTCAACAAAGAGTTAAAAAGTATATACATATTTCTATTTCTTAATCTTAAGCATTTCATTGCATGGTAAGTTGATAATAGCTAGAATTAGTGATACAGTAAAGAAAATTGAGAACAAAATATGAACATTTACCTTAAAAAACTTTTCATATTCAGTTAGGAGGTGTACAAGTGAAATGTGAAAACTATAAGATAATAAATAACATAAATAAATTAATTTAATTTTTTACTCAAAATGAAAATCACCTTGAAGGTGAACTATTAAGAGTAGTGCAAATAACTGAATTAATTGACGAATTTTTTTTATTTTTGGAATGAAATATAACAAGAACTACATAACATGCTGCACTGTGAAGCTTGTCATTGTTATAGTTAATGCTTTTTCATTTCCTATCATTTAATGTTATTATTTCCCTTAACATACATCAACAGGTGTCCTTAGGCAATATTACAGTATCATTGGCAGAGAAACTTTAATCTTTGGCAGAATGTTTTTGTATGACATACTGCACTAAGCCTCATGAACCGAGGCAGTTTGGATTATAATTTTAAAAATTATTAAACCTTTCTAATATGCATTTGAAAACATAAACAACACATACCTAACTAAAATATAAAACTAAAACCTAAATACAATTTAACTATCTATCTAACTAACATATCTCTAGATAAAAAATAATGCTAAATTTCTGTAAGGATGTATGCTGTCAACAATACTAAGAATAGTTTGAAGAGACTGTATGAAATTCTTCATGCCAATGTGAAAATAACCAATGTAAAACTGTAGTATAGAATTCTCTCTTTCTATTGGTTATAAACATCTACAGAAATAAATTGTGTTGAGTGTGAAATCATAGGACTGTGTGAAGAAAGTGACCAAGAGATATATTTTTCCTTTTTTAGAACTTGCTCTGAAGAATTTGAAGGAAGGATGTCTAACAGAGCAATTAGCCTAGTTTCTGTATATATGTTGAGGTCAAGTGTACAAGAAAAATTACTTAAGTTACAAAGTCCAAAAGCTGATACTTTGAAATATTTATGCATCACAGGACAACAAAACTGAAGATTAAGTTGTTTAAAGTTTCTCTGGGAATAAAGGAATCAAAACATAGATATTATAAAACATTGAATAATAACATACATTATAATGTCAATTTTATTGATATACATTGATAATAAAATTGCTTAAGTTTTGAATGTAACTTAGTAAAACCTTATGACATGCTCAGAAAGGGGACCCGTAACCAGAGAATTAAGAAAATAAGGCCTATATATAATTCATACATACATATATATCAACATACATTCCTAGCTAAAAACAATTCATGGCACTTTAAATAGTAATAGTTTTTACCTCTTTGACTACGTCAGCTCTTTCTATAAATCCAAAGGTTTCCTTCAAAGCACATACTACCCCCTGATATCTCACTGGTTGTGCTTTTTCTAATCTAACTTTTCTTGCACGAAGATTTCCAGATTTTTTGTCAGTTGCTATATGAAAAGCAACCTTATCTTTTGCTTTTAGGTGTTGGTTGGAATACTCAAGGTCGTCCTTTGTGTACGGAAGGAAAAAACATTCACCTCGATTCTCATATGCCACACGGCCCTATAAAAAATATTAAAAAATGATTTTAAAAGCTTGTAAGGCATCTGTGAGATTCTTAGAATACTGACATTGTACAGAGAGAACTGTGAAAAATATGGATAAATTTCAATATAAATTACTATTTTAAAAATAATTTCTTTTTACATATTGCATATTTATACTACTTCTAATAACTCAAAAACCCATACCTCAGAACCATCACTAATTTCTGTTGTCACAAAGCCAGAAACTCTGTAATCACTTAAAACTTCATGAGACAATGCTTCAGATGAGATTTTTGTAACTGAACTGGCAATGGGTTTCCCAGTTCTTCGATCATATGTCATTTCATACTCAACAGAGTCTAGAAAAAATTATTACTCCTAATTAATATTTCTTACAAATCAAATACAATTATGATTACAGATAGTTTACAAAGCTTGTAATAATACGGGATCTGTTACTTGTTGCAAGCTACATTTCCAGAATGGTTTCTCATGAGAAACACATTTAAGTCCTCTTATACAAATACATACAAGTTTGTTAAAAACTGTTCAAAAATTTTAACTTAAATATGAATTTTTCTTCAACTATTATTTTAATAAAACAGTATCTATTCCATTTATGGTATGCATTACTTCACTAAAAAATTACAATAATTTGGCCATCTTTAATTAAAACTATGTTTGCTGATATTCACAAAATAGTTGATTTTTTAAAAACATCATCAAGCATTAATTTTGACACCATGCAAATTTTTGTTCATAAATGAAAGATTCAATACTCAAAACATTAACCATCACTCCTTCTTCATATAGTTTATACTTTATAATATCTTCAAAAAAAAATTAACTATTTTTATAATATTAACAATTGTTTTACTTTTCTTAGTTGCAATAGCAAAAATTATCACATATAGACAAGTTCTGATGTAGGTAACAACAGAATATTTTCTTTAAGAAATTATAAATTTTCTGTCAACTTAATATCTCAGTGAAAATTTAAAAAATGTTCTTTTAAAAAACAGTTATTGATTTATACATGCATCAAAACAACTCTGTAAAACTGATTAGGCAAGACATTTTTTTAGATGAACTGTACACACTTTTCAGAACTAATCTCTGAAACCCAATACAGACATAGTTGGCTGATGTGTTTGTTCATACTGAATAATCACTTTTCAGATGGAACTTTAAAAAATATACTTCAATTAATTACACTCTAACCAATGTTTCTATCCCTACTTCACAGGTACAGATTAGTTAAGTGTCATTTCACAAATAACTGGTTGTTTTAGTTCAGAGCTACACAATAGGCTTACTGTGCTATGTTCATTACAAGGAATTGAACCTCAGATTCCAGTATCGTAAGTTTATAAACTTCCTGTTGACCCACAGGGGAATATCAGATATAATTGTTTCAATAAGCCCATAAACCAAAAAATATAATAGTAAAAGTAACAACTAATAATTAAGTAACATTTAATAGAAAAAAGAAAGTTCAATACCCCAAATTTAACACTTCTTTGCCAATTCATTGTGGCACTTTCTGAGGTACAGTGTGGTACTTGGCTAAATTATAGTAGTTTTCTAACTACCTAAAGTAGTGCAATTCAGAGTCAAATAACATGTGTTGGCCATACTACAGAGAAAGGAATATGATATTCTTACCTTTGTAAATTGCTAAAGTTTATTTTCAAATATAATGAAAAACTAAACAGGCTAATGAGATTTTTCTATATTTTTGGTCTTTTACTTTTTAGTTGTTTCTTAGCTGTAAAATGTGGCATGATTATTTTGAGTTATGCTATATGATTTATGGAACATTTACTTATTTAATTAATACTTGAAACCATCAATACTTGGTGAAACTACAGAACTTAAGAAAACAAAGACAGTTGTGTTTCACAAATATTTCAAACAATGGTTTCACCAGTAAAGGTATTATCAGGTACAATGGTAAGTTCTATAAATTCAAGCATAAAAATCATGTTATGATAAAATGTGGATAAAATAACATTCAAAAAGTAAACCTTATCTGAGAGGTATAAATTTGATTTTCTAGAATATCAAAAATAAGGAAATTAAATCCTAACAAAAGCTTTTCCAAAATTCCAGCCTCATGAAGGCCATCTGATGATGTTACTGTACCTGATGGTGCCTATATTGACTTTGTTTCCTTCAATTCTGTAATAGTTATTTACCGCTATATTTTGGTAAATCAAACTTACAACTTACAATATATATAAATTACATATTTTATTATTATCCAAGTTTGAATTTGTGTTTTATTTCAACATCAGTTTAGTGTTGTTATTTCATTAGTACTGAAAATTTGAAACAGTTATGACTGAAACCCAGTTTCTCATATGCAACACAACCTTACTCAATAAAAGATGCTAAAAAGAACAAAAATAAATCACCTCCTATTTTTAGGTGTTCAATTTTACCAGAAAATTGACTGAAATGAAAAAATAGTCTTGCTTGTCTCTCAGAGCACTGAATGAATCCATAAGAATGCTACAGAAAAGGAAATAAAAGATAATGACACTTTTTAAATGTAAATTCTGTATCAATGATTTAATTTATAACTATAATGTCAGTCAAAACGACTGACAACGACTAATGACAACATACTTAAGTGGTCTTGCTAGCTTTCCAAACTAATCAATTTTCAGTGTACTTGTTACAGAATATATAACTTTAAAAATGGGTTTCATAAAGGAATAAGATTATTTTGGTTAACATGTTTGAAAATTAACATTACTGTTACATTTGTTATAGATTGTAAGTTCTGGTAATAAACACATTAAAAACTGATAACATGTTATTGCTTTAGATAGTCAGTTTAATAAATTCAAGCATAATATTCATGTTACAGAAAATCTGAATAAAATAATATTCACAATGTAAACCTTATCTGAAAGGTATAAATTTTATTTTCTAAAATATCAAGAATAAGGAAATTAAATCACACCAAAAGCTTTTCCACGATTCCAGCCTCACGAAGGCCACTTGATGATGAGCTACAAGTAGAGCTAGACATGTTGCTGTTATCTTGATTGTTGGCAGTCTTACTGAAAGAAGGAGAGCGCTGGTAGGAAGGTGTGGTACTGGGTTGTGATGGCGGCTGGAAATTCTGTAAAATGACAAAAGAATACGATATATTATCCTTAAACAATATACAGTGTCCTAACAAATTTGTTTATATAAATAAATTTAAATACTGTAGGTTAGTCATACAGTGCTCCCTGGTTATAATGCCATTGCTTATACTGCAGGTCTTCCTTCCTCCTCCTACATTCTACATTGGGCTTGCCCAGAGTTGGAGGATCAAAATAAGGAGCCTGCTGATCTACCTACTGCTCAAGAAGCACTAAGCAGCTTAGAAACTGCGATGATGTGGTTAGAGGCACAATAGGATGTCAAACCAGTGAACCTTTTGCAGTTAGCATCTGTCAAAAAAATTATCTTGTAGAAAATATTCTATCATTAAAAAAACGAAAAATTTACTGACTTTTTTAAAGAAATGATTTAACAAAATAAATTTCAAGTACTGGCTTTGTATTCATGTCGATACATGTTTATTTTGTACTTTGTTGTTTGTAGCAAGTAAAGAAACTTTAAAAAATTAAAAAAGAGAGTTGTATGTATGTACTGTACTGAGTAGTACGACCATTTTCTCAGTTATACTGCTGAAAGTATTATAATACAGGTCACTACGCCTCCTCTGAAACTCACGTTATAACTGGAGAGCACTGTACTATACATTAATTTGTAAGGTTTTATTGCTTCTGATTAACAAATGATAGAAATCTATATAATTAAGAGAGCAATGCGCATGCATGTGTGGGAAACTATGTAAAAATGGAATTAGGATTAGGAAAGTACAGATGATGTCTCCATATGTGTAAGGGAGAGGTGGGTGTAGACAGTCTTATGCATTGCAAAGAGATAGGTATTTGGAGCATGGATCTGTCATCTCTCAGAGTCACCTTCTCAGACAGCAATGTTTAAGTATCAAAGATTTCTGTGTGAATTTCAATTTATAACTATAAAAAAAAAGGGGGGCAATTTTATCATGATTTAACATTTTTCAAAAAATAAAGAAATTTTCCTATTTATCTTCGTGAAATCTTAATGAAAATAGTTCCATAATTTACACTGATACATGTACACAAATTTAGCAAATGTTCATTGTGAAGAAAAATCATGTTTTCCAATTCCAATATTTAAATTATATAAATGTAAAAATGGTTTATCTACACTTTAATATAGATTATAGTAAGATGTAGTGGATTATGAGGACGACCCTGGAATTTCTTCATAAAATCCACTCCTTAAGTCCCATTTGAACACCTTTAGGAGTTTAGCCTGAATTCCACAAAAGGGGATTAACGGTTTTGCTTTAGTACTTTGATGGCCATGATTAAATGCCAGTTAAGAGGCATGATAAGAGTTTTTAGTCTTCTAAATTTAAGGCTTACAGAGAAAATAAATGTGAAAGAGTCTTTCTAAGATGTCACATGAGATAACCTTAAATCTTTCATGATTGAAGGTGTATCAACGATACCCAATGATTTTTCATTCGCACATTGGAAATACTTAAATTGTACAAAATATGGAGCAAATGTACTTATATAGTTTCAGTTTAATTTAGTTTTTCTATCATTTTTAACATTTTGAAATTTCCAAAATTTTGTTGAGAAACATTAGAAATACTTTAATTCCTTTCAGAATAAAAATGATTTTTAATGTTAAGCAAAAATTTCCAGTTCATATATACAATCCGTTTCAACTTGACTGATTAGAGCAGCTGTCAGTTCTCACTATAAATCATAAAAAACATGGCAAAAACTGAAAGATTTATCAGTGACCTATGGTCTGGGCTGTCACAATGACCTCAGGTCAGTTAGGTAACAATATTTTAGATCAAGATCAATTTATATCTAATAAATATAGTTCCTCTTCAAACATAATCAGCTTGTTTACTTACATTGTTTGACTACGACAAACTTAATTACATCAAATAAGTAAGAATTTGAGTTATCAAAATAATTTATTGTCATCTAGTGTTCTCTTTTAATCAAATGAGGTTTATTCAATGCCTTGTCATAAAATAAAATTTACAAAGCTTTCAAACAAATATAATTTAACACAAAAATGTTTTCAGGAACAAAAAAGATGTCTAAAGAAATTAGAAAAAATCACAGATCTGTGGCTTGTTCTTAAGTTTATAATTTTCCCACTAAATTCCCTGGTTCTTTTCAGGAGTGTCATTTAAATCACTTTCCAAGAAACCACAAATTACTTCTCACATCACTTCATATATGAAAAAACAGCTTATAATCCACTCTTAGTGTGCTCTATCTAATAGTATTTAAGTTATGCCTGTAGCTATTTAGTAAAATTAGCTCCATTAGTAATTGTTACACCATATGCTGTGAATTCACAAAAAGTGGGAAAATAGTCCTGTAATTAAACAAATTTCACACATAGAGGGAAAATGAACAGAGAAACAAGGTTGGTTAATTGTATTCTCCAGGAATGATGATTTCTCAGCAAATATAAGCTGTACAAGGCCAGCAAATTTGAAAAAAAAATCCATGCATTGCTTACCAATGAGAATCCTCAAAGTTGTTAAAGAATGTAAGTTAGAACATTTTTTAAAATTTCTTTGTGAATTGCACTATATAAAAAAAACAATTCTAAAATATTTTCAAGTAAAAAATTGTTGAAATACTTAGAATTATTATGTTAAACTTTAAAATTTGATGTACAAGTGTGCACTCGATATCTGAAAGGTGCTCACCACAAGCCTTCTATCTCCTCTTCATTGGAATTGATTGATTCCAATGCATCTCTCATGCAAATCATGATGCACCAACTCTCCGCCAATAAGAGTGCCACATACTCTCATGACACATGTGACTCCCTCTATTCCATTCTACCAACTATCACTTCAAGTTTTGGCAGAAGATGGAATCACAGTATGAGAGGAGGTAAGTACCTATCAGAAATACATTTTCAGTGTTGGAAAATTATAACTTCTGATACGGTACATTACCTCCTCTCACATAAATAGTTAGAATCCCACATTGAATAGGTGGGGGGACCAGTGCGAGGGAAAGAAAGAAGCATCTGAAGGACACTCCCTAAGATGAGACAGTCAGATTCTAAGATCTAATGTGGGGAACCACACTACTTCTGAACCAGGCATACTCTTTGTCCATTGTAGAAAGATGTCCCATATATGGATAGAAAACAGAGGAGAACATCCATTTGGGAGAGAACTATGGCCAGAAAGTGATTCAAACCATGCATTATTTATGAAGTTCAGTCCCAGAAATTAAAAAGGGGGTAAAATAATAAGGACGTGCTCCTAGGTGTAGAGTAGCTGGGATGTGACAGACTGTATACGGCAAGTCAACTACATCCAAAATCCATGCCACTGAGAACCGACATCCATGCAGGGGGTAGTATCTAGTATCCCCCGACTCATGAACTGGGCGCATATGAAAATGATAAATTGATAGATCGATCTGGGAACCCGACATCCATTATCAAAAAGATGTCTACATAACGTAAACCATCTCCCTCAAATGTGAAATTGATCTAAACCACCCCAAGCACATTAACATCCTCGGAATAAAAAATCATCAAGGAATAGTGGAAGGGAAAGAACTGTTACAATCCGCAATTACCTCCACTTGGCCCACAACACTGATGGAGTATAAATGAGGGAGGAATATTGACATGTGAGAAGACTTATGTTGATTGGTTCTACTGGAAACTGACATCCACATAGGGGATCACAATCGAGGGGGGTACAGCAATTTCGACGTCTCACTCCCATTTGTTTTTGTGTTTCATATTGGAGGATATCACATCCACACCAGCAGAACACCACCACCCTACTCTCAACTGAATGGTTTTATAATCATTCCTATTGTTTGTTTGTATTTCATTACCTCATTCATGAGGATGCCTCCATGGTCCACAACCCCAGCAGCTTGAAACTGGAAAGTAGTAAGGACTCTCAAACTCCACTAAAATAAAAGCGGCTAAAACACAGTCGAGACTCCAGAGGAAGGATAACACCTGAAACAGTGCAATGGGTGACTATGAAACCCTATTTTTAAAAGCAGACCATACCAATTTATTCAACATAAGGCATGGCAGGGATGGGCAACTATCCTCTTTTGCTTTACCCATGAAGTCCATGGGTTGGTACAGTCCGGATGTGACAAACTTATGAAGCAATTGTATAGTGAGGAAAAACCTACAAGTAATCTTATGTAAAATACCATCTCTGCAGTGTGCATTGCATGGCCATGGAATTATAATATGCAAGTTGACATAGCTTGACAGTGTGGATATGAACACTTAAAGAATATCTGGTCAGTCACCACTTGTCACAGAGTGGGATCCAAACAATGAGCATTAATAAAAGGGAAAAGGACCCTTAGAAAGAAAAAATTATAATTGAAAAAAACTTACCCAATCAAAGTCTCACTGAATTCTGATGTTCTAGAATGGTGAAAGAAGATAACCTGAAGAAGAAGAAAACCGTGATCCGATGCAAATAGTGAGAGAAGAACATATCATGGGTAGTCCACATGCCCAACTGAAGAATTACCTCCAAAGGATGACGAAGATGAAATGTCAATGAAAAGTTAAGGTGTCGAACTAGTTGAGAAAACACATGGAACAAAGGATGGAAGAAACATGATAAAGAGGAAGAAGCCAATCAAATGAAAAGCCAAACCCAAATGGTAAATGAGGAAGGAGAAAGAACATGAACAGAGGACTGTTGCCAAGGGAGAAAGAGGCAGGAATGGACAACATAGAAGGAAGCCGTGTAGGCAATATAATAGAGAAGAGCACATACAGAATATAGAAGTTATCCAGATCAGGACGGGGATAAAGGTGTGAAATGGAATGAAAAGAAAGTGGCTAAATGGCGGAGTTATCCTCACGAGCCTCCAAAGTGTCAGGGAGGAAAAATGATCCGGAGAAAGGAGAAGATATGAAGAAAGATAAGGAGTACATGAAACAATGAAGGCATAGAAAACAGACCCCTAAAATTCACAGGCGAATAGGAGAAGAAGGAAAACAAGGAGCACTGGGAGAGTGGTTCAAACGTAGGCAAAGTGAGGCTGTGGAAAACCAGATTAATATCCCCCATCTGGAAGGGCAGCATGCTATGGCTAATGACAAATCTGGAAGGAACACATCCACAGGTAAAGTGCAGGTGAAGTAAATAACTGCACGATCGGGAAAAATTAAAGTTGTGGGACATGACTACCCCAAAATTCGAAACTGAGGAGACAGAAGGTAAGAGAGGAAATCTGCATGACTAAGAACAGTGGGTTGATCATGGGAAAACCCTGAATCCAGAAACTAACGACAGAAAAATTCCATTTACTTTGAGAAACTTCCATGTAGGAAGGGTGAATGAAACAAGCCAGAAAGTGGCTAACTATCTGGAGAAGCTAGATCACCTTTCCAATGACCAGAGGAAAACCAGGCATGAAGACAGAGGACAGGAAGGTCTGGATGAAATACCAGTGACTGAGAGTGGCTAAGACAGAAACAGAGGGAAAAAGGTAACGGAGTAGGAAGTTGGGGCTGGAGAAGCGACAGGAACCACAGCTGAGATGGCCAGGAAAGAGCTATCAGAAGAATTGAACATGGAGTGTCAATGAAGAATGAAATTACCCAGAGAAGAAGGAGAACAAGAGGATAGACAAATGTGTAGATCCAATCCTGGCTGAAAACATCGATAGCCAGAGCATGCAGATGAGGGACCGGAGACCAAAACCAAGACAATTTATGATTAAGGGATGTAGCAAAAGCCTCAATGTGAGGAGTACCCCACTGAAGTCAAAACCACTGGAAAACAAAAATAATTGAGAGACCACTCCATCAGATAAATGTTGTCTGGAAAGAAATCTAGTCCACAACAAGAGTGAAAGCACCTGGAACATGACACACAATGATAGGAATATCAAGAATGTGGGCCCAAAAAGAAGATTCAATGTATGAATACAGCGGGATGGAGAATGGGTGCTGCCCTGGTGATTGAGATAAGCAACCACTGAAGAAATGTCAGAATGGATCATTACCAGACAATTTCTGGCCAGATGGAGAAAATGAACCAAAACACTACCTACAGCAAGAAGCTCCAGAAGGTTGATAATATAAGACTTCATGGTCACAGACCAAAAACCCCAGTTGATCAACCCACGCCCTTCATCCCCGAAGGGATGCATCTAAGAAATGTGGAAAACCGGATGAGGAAGAGGAAGAAGGAAACCCACTGATGTGCGAGTCCTATCTGACCACCAACCCCGATCGACGACAAGGGTAGGAGGAAGGGTAATAAGAGGCAACAAAGGATCCCTGAAAAATTCCATTGGTCATGAAAAGCCCACAAAAGAGCCCACATATGAGCTTGACCTAGGGGATAAAGGCTACCATGGAAGATCATATCCCCTAAAGTGATAGAACTTTGCAAGCTGTAATCAAACTAAAAACTCATTGAACAAAGTTGAAGAGGAGAAGGGTAGGCCCAACTGAGATGTGAGTAGAAAAACACCTAAATGGACAAAATTTTAGATAGGTTGCAGTAAGGACTTCTCCAACTTGATTAACAGCCAACTATAGCCACCTTCAGAAGCAGCTGATAAGGGTAACAGATGGAATCTGTTCAGAACTAGTGAACAGTAGCCAGTCAACCAATGAAAGAGGAAAGTGCAACCCGAGAGCACATAAGTGATGAATGAATGCTCTGAATGCCTGACAAAACATACAGGGCTGAAGCAAGTCCAAAGGGCAGTGCACAAAACAGAGAAACCACTCTGTGAAGAATAAACAGGAGAGTCATGAGTGATGAAATATTAGGATATGCAAATAATCATTCAAGACATTCCTTTTTGTCATTGATAAGCCTGGAGAAAAAGCCCACCTAAGGGTGAGAAATGACTCCAAGGTAAAACAGGGCAGATTGAAATTTAGAATGAGGCAGGACAAACCTAGTACAGACCGCCAGTCTCTGGTTTGGCATAACGACAACAAACAGACTGGAATAAAAGCCTGGAGAAAGATGAACAGGAGCAACAGCCTGTAGAAACAGAAAATCTTGTACCTCCTAGGACAGATGAAAGCTGGTGGCAGGATCCCAAGTCATGGGAAAGGAAAAGGGTATCAGGGACAAAGGAGGTAATAAGAAATCATAGAAAAATGGGGAAGTGGATAAAATTTAACATACCTGAAAAATCATGTCAAAAACTGCCATATTAGGCCTAGATGATTCTGCAGGAGGGATAGAGAAAAATACATCAAAATCTGGTGGTGTAAAAAGGCTATCAAATCTTTATTGGCCCGAACAGGCTCGACTTGTTCAGGAGGATTAGAGGGGCAAGTTAAGAAGAAGAAAGTTGACCCATATAATGATCAATCTCCCCCAGTCTGGAGAAAATCAAACAAAAGTGTTTGATGTAAAATATGCGAGTGTGAGAAAAAATATATAGATGGCAAAATTAAGTTAAATTAAAAGATTTTTTCAATATAAAGAAAAAAATAACAATGAAGAAATCCCACTTCAGAAATTAAACTATTAAAATCATGATTCACATTAAGAGCACCAAAATAAAAAAATGTCTGAACACGAGTACTGCCAAACGAGAAGTGACAGTTTGGTAGAATGGAATAGAGGGAGTCACATGTGTCATGAGAGTATGTCGCACTCTTATTGACACAATGATTTGCATGAGAGATGTATTGGAATCAGTCAATTCCAATGGAGAGGAGATAGAAGGCTTGTGACATAGATAATTTTTTTTGCTGAACAAGAATAGCTATTTATGTAAGCGGAGGTAATGTACCGTATAGAATAACAATTTTTCCTTGTGCCCCTTATATATCTATAAAAAATACCTTCTGCTTCTAGCAATTCAAATATGATAAAATAAATGGGGCAATAACTATACACTTTCCCTTCCCCATCATCAATTACTTTCAAATTTGAGATGCCCAGGCTGTCCTACAATATCCCGCAAATCTCTTTTGCAATACTGCTCCTTCCAATGGGGAGGGGAGACATGCCCCATAGATTGGGAACCTTTGGTATGAATTGCATTATATATTATATAATTAAATTTCAAGTAATAACTATATGTCTATAAATTAAACAACTGATCTCCCAAGAAAAGCTATTCACTTCACTATTTCTTGGTATATTAAAGCTTTTAGAAACCTATGTGTATAACCCTGAATACTGTCATTAATATCCTTTTACAAATATAGGCAAAAACAAAGTGAATAATATCCCATAAATCTGGAACTGTTCCATATAAATACAATAAACATGTAAACAAAAAATTAACATTTAGTATTACCTAAATAGTAAAGTGGAATTAATTTTATTTTTCTTAATTATCTTATGTACACAAAGTTAAATTCATATTGAACTTTTGGCTCTCTACAGATAGGCTAATGCTAGAAATCAGTCATACCTTAGTTAAAATTAAACCCACTCAAGTCAGATGTACTTGTATCCAGAGGTAAAAACATTAACATTAAGAAAAGTTTCATAGTTGAAAATTACTATCACTAAAAGTAGTAATGCTATAAAGAGATGGATTCATTAATCATGTTTAGAAATAGTGGTTTGCAATTTGCTGTGTATGTATATTTCACATACATAAAACTTAACAGCTAAGCATATATTTTAATTCATTCTTACCTTCCACTGAGGGCTTGACATGGTTGCTTGAAATTACAGTTAGCCAATACACTAATAAATAAAATTTGATCTTGGAAAATGATGGCAAGGTTCTGTGAAGTTCTTTTTTTGTTGTTGTTTATCAAGCTCTCTAATTGTCAGTAAGTTCTATTTTTCTTCTTTATACCCACGACTAAAGTATAAGTTTGTATAAAAAACTTCAGTTACAATTTTCCAAATTAAAGAGAAGTAAATGCCAATAAAAAGATGCCTCAGATTGTCAACAGTGTGTGCCACGAGTGTCGGAGCTTGGGTCCTTATGGGGTATTTTCTAGTTTCTAAATGAGCTGAAAGAACATAAAACAAATTATAAGTGTATTGTATCATCACACTTTAACCAGTTTCATTACAATATTTCTTTTTAAGCTAATCAGTTTAAAAAAAAATACCTAAAAGTTTTGCTAAATCCAAGTATATATATAATGCAAAATTAATCAACACATTTTCATGAAAAAAGAAAGGTCAGTCTTGGTTACATTACTCTCCACAGACAAGGAGGATCATATGATCCATATTCTAATATTCATAAAGTGGAACATGCTCTTCCACTCTAGTGAAGGATACCCATTTCTTTACAAGTTTAGGATTCTAAATATTAGAGCTGGGCAATTAATTCAGTATAACTGATTACATATGAGCATCAATCAAATTAGTTTTTTTATAAGATAATTATGATGAAAATAATCAGCTAATCAATATTAGTGTTTCTAATTATTATTCTTTTTGATTGTTCCAAATATTAAATGTTTCATGTGAATAATCAATTAGTTAAATGTAATTGATTATTGAGTTTGACAACTGATTAAATATCCAATTCCACTAATCACCTAGCTCTTCTGAATATAAGTTGTGATGTTAAATTAATTTTTAGAATAATCATTAAAGTATTTAAGACATTTTAGAGAAGTTAAGTTTATTAAAAAAATTGAACAAATAAAAAGTACATATTGTAATTACTCCTCAAATATTATTGTAATTAGCAAGTTTCTAATCTTACATCTAGTTTCTACAGTAAGCATACAACTCATTGCAAGCCATTCAATTAATACAAAAAAGGAATTAAAAATTCAGTTACTCACCGTGAATTACGTAGTAATAATAATTAACAGGTTAAAAAAAATTACTCACTGAAAACTGTGTAAGTGCTTTATCTCATTTTCACATATATTTATTTTGATGTATGAACAATAGGGTACAAAAAACTTATAGCAAAATCTGTGATGTTATTTAGGTATTAGTGATGATCAGATAAATCATGCATATTTAAATAGGAGCTGATAAGGATAATATGAAAATTTGTTAAGGTTAATGTACTACAGAACTATCACAAAATTTAACATACAAATTTTTAAACACTATATTTTAAAATATTACAATTATAAATAGCATTAATTTGAAACTGACATTTAAGCATTTCATGCATAAAACATTCAGAAGTATGCAGGAACAATGGTCAGCTTAGAGACTATTTTTAATAAAAATAATAAAATATAATGGTCTGCCAATATTTATTTTAATTCTTTTTCAAGTTACATATAACAAAAGTTTGTGGTTAACAATAATGTCTGCTTGCAAATATAGCTACAGTAGTACAACCTAGATGTAAACAAGCACATCATGTGCCTTAAATTCTATAAAACAAGTTAAAAAATAAATAAAAAAGCATCTGAAATATTTTTGATACCTTTTAATTAAATTAAAAATGAAAAACTTGTTAAAATGAAGGATTGTCCCCTTTCACCTACAGTATATTTCCAAGTGTTACTTTCGAACTCTGCAAGTTTATTAGAGCTTATGTAAATCTACTGTTGTATGCAAATACACTTCCTACATCCTACACTTCACTTGTGATATTTCAGGAAAAAGGGTTAAAAAAGTGAGTTTTACAGACTATTTTAAAGGTTTGTTTGCAAAGTTTTTCTTTTACCAAATTCAATCCTCATTCAGCTTAACATGCTCTTTCAATGTAAAATTTCAAGTGGTCCTTTTCACATAGGAGAATGAGAATGGAGTACTACATAAGAAAAAACAAGCTACTAAGCATTTGTTTATCAACATTTTACACTTAAACAGAAGTGGTCTTTAATAATATCAGAGAAGTGATAATGCAATAACAAACAAAAATGTGGTGTGTGGTTAGATTGGGGTTTGTATAGATAAAAGATTATTATTGAAATTTTGCACAAGCTTCTTAGTCAGGCTGTTGATACATGTATGTATTGGCAGATTATACAAACAGAAATCTGGTCAACAGATAATGGATTATAATCATGAGATTCTAATTTTATAAATATTAATTGATTTACCATGCAAGACAATTTTTTGAAATGGTGAAGGACACTTTTTTCATTCATTATCACAAACCCAATATGCTATTTTAAAACGTGTTTTTAGGAGGAGGAAGATATGGTTATTTTTAGTAAAAATGAAGTTGCACACTAGTAATCATAACATTAATACTTATATTACAGTTAGCAGGTTATCTCACCAATTCTTGCATTAACTCTCAGCTCAGTGATTGGCCTAGAATACTATATACAACTGCATTATTGGCTAGAGGACAGTTGGAAAGAATTGTACTTTGATGACTTTTGGATGACAAACTGAGTTAAGTGTCATGTTCTAACTTGAGAATGAGCCTTGCTTGAATGGAGATTATGTAACAGGCAAAATGGGTGGGTATCTTCTTTAGACATAACACCTGTTGATCAGCTGGTAGAGAAACAGCCTCAGAGCAAAGTGTGCCAGGTTCAAGCTTCCTCTGACAATCTTGAAACAATGAATGCAAGAGAAGAGTTTATGTTTGGATGTCAATATGTCTAGAAGGCAGATAAAATAACTGCAACTTAGGGCTTAGGCTGTCAACAAAGGTGGTGCAATAATGTAAGCAGTGAGATGACAATTAGTTGCTTTGTGATGTGAGCAATGCTGTCAATGTTTATTTTTCTCTGTGTACATTATAGGGATAACCATTAGTGTCATTGCACTTAGATCAACAGGAACAACACATCTCTGGATGGATGACTGCTCCCAATTTCTTGCAGTTTATGAAGCTCTTTGTTGACACTATCCATTATTCTCCAAATCAGAAGTCTTGCATATAAATAGAGGACCTGCCTATGCCAAGACCAAAAGGATTGTTACATTCAAACTGTTTGCATAAAAGCTAATAAAACTTGAAGTGAAAAAAAAATGTATGAAACTAAATAGTAACATTTTGGTCAAGACTTACAGTAGTGAGTTGTGTAGCCAAGGAGAAAGTAAGCACATTCCCCCAAAACTTGCAGCCACCATCAAGTCTTTTTACACAACATGATTGCAATGTACAAAATCAGCCCCTCTGAAACTTACACATTGTAACAGCTACACTTTAGATATTCAAGACTGTAAACTATCGTGACATTAGTAGTTATCACATAAAAAATGAAATAAATCCTTGAACCATTGCTAAGATATAGCCTAGCCGAATATGATTATATTGTTCATTTTCACACACTCAATTTGTTTTTATAGAATGCATGTATAATTTTCAAACCTCAGCCATCATCTCAATCTTTGTCCAACTGCTTTGAAATTAATATCACTATTTCCTCCATGTTCAGTCTACAAGCAATAGCAGTTATGGCTTGAAACACTAAGTTTTATGGTCTACAAGGCTGGTTTTTATCTAAAGCAAAATCTAGATTTTAAATTTCCTTTAAACTTTCCAGAGATAAACAATACCATTACTTTTGTTTTCGTGCAAAACTTCATGGAATTCTGACAAGTAGTTTTCTTGTAAAGCCCTTGTACAACTTTAAATCCTCTGTGCCATAGATGAAATTTAGACTGGTTTCCAGTGTAAGCACGTGAGACTCACAAATTTTAATTGTTTGTTGACAGCCATTAATTCTTTGTCCAAGCTAGTAAATTTGATTGTAAGTTTATTTTCAACACACGTAAGCCTATATGCTCGTGTGCACATTGTAGCCTGTGCTAGCTATATAACCACAGGACTTGCTTGTATTAAAGTATTATTCACTATGTGAGGAGTGTGTGTTTACTGTCCACAGTTTATTCACACGTACCTACTAATATATAAGCTTACGAAGTGGTTTTGGCTGACTGGCAGGCTCTGGCCAGAATTGTCCAAGTTTTGACTGTTACTCATTATAGGAGTGTGGTATTAACTTGTTGTGTGTGCCTAGTGCTAACATTAACAAGGATTGTTTTGTTGTTAAATGCATGTATAATAAAGGTATATGTATTTCACTAAAAGATATGAAAGCTAAACCAAAAACAGCTTGGCTGTAAAAATAAAAGAAGCCAGACGAAGAGAAAAGTTATTTGTTATACAAACAGTGACCAAAAAAAATTGATATCAGAATATGGCCAAGGCAATCAATATTATTGGATACACAGTTTAAAACTGTTTGTTAAAAAAAAGTAAACTCTATACTTGGTTTAGAATTATTTTACTATGTTTGTCAGTTTTATTAATGATAACACAAGCATAAGTTACTTGTCATCTGGCCATTTTTTGTCAATACTAACACACACAAAGTGTTATATCACAGTGTGAGTGATTTTAGGTGTTCAAAAAGGTTGGGGAATTTAAAACTTGGGGTAAGCATATTAAAACTAAAGCAGTTGATAGAATGTTAAAGGCCTTAAATTGCAAGAGAAGTTCTGTTCAAATATTTACAAATATATTTGGATAGTGATAATTTAAAAAAAAATTAAATCATACACCTCTCTGGCTTATCTATCACACATTAATTCATTAGGTTTCTAATAGCTCTACGATACTATCATACAAGTATTTTATCTAAATTATATTGAATGACTCCATGTTTTATCAATGATCAGCTGGTTCAGATATGAAAATAAACTTTTATAAGTCTAACTACACTTCAGTAGAACTGGGCAATTAGTGGCATTTGCTAATTGATAAACTGATGAGATTATTAATACACTCCTTCTACAACCCATACAAGCAAAAAAATGGATGTGTGCTACCTTCATAACTTTTTTTAACTAATGCATTATTATTATTATGTTTTAAACTTCCTATTTTTATTTGCCATACATTTCATGGACATTTCTTACTCAGTAAATAAATTGCTAAATACCAACATGTAGTTACCACTATGTTTCTTTTATTTAAATATGTAGTAACTCCACATTTAAAACATACCAGGATTGTAAACAGAAATAGTTATGCCATGTTTTTTGTTGGAAAATGATAAATCTGAAAATTATATTCAGTAAATATTTGAGTCATCAGAATATTTTGCAATCACCTACCATGCTCACTACACAATGAACTTATCAGATTTAACTATTTTAGTTTATTTGATGAACATAGTAAAAAAAAACAAAAAACTTGTGCTTATAAAAATTGCAACTCAAAATCACAGTATATCAAAAAGTAATTTTCAACAGAGTCAAACATCAATAAGATACCTTTATTAAGTTATAAGCAATCTCCAGTTATGTAACTGTGTTTTATATTGTATATATATTCCTGTGTCTAGGTAAACATGTACCTGCTGATGACAAAACCTTCTCCAAACACTATACGTTTCTTAATGACATGTACAGTAAAAATAGTTTGTAATAGTTTTCTTTGTTACCCATTCAGTCCATCTCTAAACTGTATAAAGTTATCAAGTTATCTGATGTCTTCTCAATGAAAAAAAATTCTGTACCTTTTACACAGATACAATTTAACACAAATATTTTCACAATTCACTCTGAAAGGAAGTGAAAAAAATGCTTACACCAACAATAAAAAAGAACATTTTTAAACCAATATATTTATAATATTATTGTTTGTATGTTGTTAAGCACAAAGCTATATAATGGGCTGTGTGTTGTGCTCACCATGGGTATCAATACCCAGTTTTTAGCTTTCTAATCAGACTTACTGCTGAGCTACTAGGGAGCTACTACTATATTATTATGTGATAGTCTAATTCTTGTTCTATCCAATCATATTTAAACTTTTTCTTTATAGCAGTTTTCAAAACTATTCCATTAGTAAATGATCAAAGCATCTGATGTGGCACTATAATAAGGTTTCAACAAAGGCCTGTTCAAAAACTAAAGAAAACCCTTGAAAATCAAGAAATGGATAAAATATGCTCAAGGGGTGACAAGTGTCTAGCAAAAATAGTTATTGTTTGGAATAGACAGAAAATTTTAGAAAAAGCAACAAATGTATATTTTTTTTATTCAGGCAAAAACCTTTGCAGCTGAATGATTTTTCTCCATGTATTACACTAAATAAATGACAAAATATTGTTCCTGAAATATTTTTAGTTAAAATTTTTAAATAATTACAATTAACCTATACAATTTCTCAAAAATTTGTGAAAAGCTAAAGAAATCCTGTATAAGTATGATAATTTAGGAGTAATTTACTTTGTTAATCATAAATTATCATACATGCAATTTAGTATGGTAACAACCTAAAAATTTAATTAACAGCATACTTTGGGTACTGAATTTTTGTCGAAGAAGATAAATATATTACTCTGTGACATTTTCAAACATTTTTATATAAAGTTAATGAACTTTATTACTATAAAAACACCCCAATAAAATTGTACAAAGTATTACTAGTAACTATGATATTTGATTAACAATACTGATATTCACAGAAAAAAATAAAGGTCAAAGCTGGCTAGATAGAGAATTTAGGTTAAACATTTTTCAAACATATGCATATTCCAAATTATGGTAAATGCTGTTAAGAGATGTACACTGAAAAATTGTTACTAAAAATAAACTGTTTTGTGTGTGTGTGTGGGGGGGGGGGGTACTAAACCTCTACTTGTGCTACTGATAATTTGGCAGTGATAAATTTGTATTACTTTCATTATTTACTTATAACTGCACACTACTACTAACTTTTATTATTAAAGTGATTAGAAAGCCTACAAAAGCTCAGTCTGGTTGTAATTCAGTGATTCCAGAGCTTATATCTTTTTCTTGTAGTGTGACCGATATAAAAATAAAAAAACATTTTTAAGACAAACTTTTCAAACCCTATAATTAAAATAGTTGGCATTACATTTAGAAAAAAAATTAAAATTACATTTAAGTTCATATCTTATTATACCGTTAATGATCAGTTACTTTTGAAAAAGTAGGTGAAAAGATTTGGTCCCCGCCTTTAAATCCATGTCTGCTGATACAACTTTATAGTCATGAATATAATAGAGGTGGGGTCCAAACCCTGATATATCTGCACTTGCTACAACATTAAATAATGTAATTATTAACTTCTAAAAAACAAATGGTTTATTTATCAGACTGGCCAAAAACTAAACCAGTTCAAGGATACTGGTGATAAAAATATAGCTGATATTATGCACAATTTCTATTCATGAAATAAAAATAAAGTATTGATATAAAGATAAAATATTCTCAAACTAAGAGATAATGACTTCTATAGTATGATTAACATGTTCCAAAGTCTGTATGAAAATGTAAAATTGGCAGCTTATACTTTTAATTTTGTTTTAAAGAAACAAAAAGTTAAGTTTGCATACGAGATGTCTGTGGTACTTTACATGAATAACTTGAATGAAAATTTAGGTGTAATTTCATCATCAACGAACAATTCTGCTACCACATAAAATCATGTGGAGAAGAAATATTTAAAAAACTTTTGAGAAAGCAAACCTTCCCTTATTATTGCCCCTTGGTAGTTAATTACTCATCTTAATCACAAGTCTCAGTCTTTACCAACTTCAGTTTTTAGAATATACAAGGTCACTTGAAACTAAAAGTCTCTCAGTTTGTAATTCTGTTACTAAAAGTTATACTCCCAAATATATACTCTAATGATTCCACAGAAAATTCCAAATATCACAGAAGTACTATTAGGAACAGTGTTTACAAATAACATGTCAGGCATTTGTATTTACAATACAAGCATTTCTCGGAAGACCTTAAATGTATTCAAGTGCCTCTATACAAATGCCCAAAAACAATTGTAAAGCCTGATAACTAACAACTTTCAAGCAAGATACATATTAACTCTTAAATCACATCCTTAGAAAACTCAAGCTATTACTATTAAATATTCAACTATTTGTTCTGTTCATGATGTAAGATCGAAAAAGTTTTACAGATAAAATTAAAAGAAACCTGATGAAACTCAGGCCTAGTGCTTTCAACAAATGTACCTTCATTTTTCCTTCTTTACCCTTGAAAAAAAAAAAAATACCCCTACTAAAGTACTAGAGTTTTTATGTTTCTTTGATTTACAATCTTAGTTACGAACAGTAAACTCAACTAACCAAGAGTAAGACAAAGAGTAGAAGTAGGCCTAATATAGTCAGACCTAAAATACCTTTATTTAAGTTGACATATGGGCAATTCCATTATTACTTGCATTACATTTTGAGCTATTTTCAATGCTTTCACCTTCCCTGGATTCATAGCCTTGCTGTACTCGTTATATGAAAACTTTCAACCATTAGCTATATAATTTTATGAAAATGTTCATTTACTTTTCTCTGGCTCACATTTTTTTGGATGTCACTCAGGTTACAAAATAGCATGGACATTTTCTTTGCCACTTAATTCCTAGTCTTCTCTATCAGCTGATTATACCATAATAGTGTGTGTCTGGCATTTTAACTAGCTAATATCCATAGCAAAATATCAGTAAAAGAATAAATTAAAATTATATAAAGCATTAGCTTTTAGCCATGAATTACATAAGGGTTGGTTACTCACATCCCCCAAGAGTTTATTTGAACTTATTTTATATTTTCTTGTCACTCTACACAGCCCTGTCGTTGACAGCATCCATATCTTTTACTTTTTCTTACTTACCTTCTTTTAAGAATAAATTACCAATGATTTATCCATACCTCCCTTTCCAGCTTGCAGACTTTCTCAGCTCAAAAAACAAAAATGATATGATTTACCTTAGTCAAATCATTTTGTTAAATAAATCAAGTTTTCATTGAATATTGTCTAAACAAATAAATTGACACACTGAGTTAGTATGTGCATCACAAAGCTCCAAAGTCTTAATGTTACATAGTTCACTGGTACAAAAATTAACACATGATTATTCTAATATTTGTCTTGAGAATTTAAAGCAACAACTATATACAGGGGTCTGGCTTGATCAATTTTTTTAACTATTCCCTCAATTATTTCAAAAAGATCATACCACATGAATTTGACCATTTTAAATTACTCCCAGCTGGTAACATCACTGAAACTTAAGTTGATAAAAATATCTTGCTTTTTCTTTGACAGCCAACATAAAACATTGTGTTCCTGTTACACTCTCTGTTAGGGATAATACCAAATTTTCTAGAACTCCATCTATATCTAATAAATTAATCACTCTATAAAAAACACCACAGGGCATAATAGGACGATTGTCTTCATCAACATTTGATTACTCATGTTAATAAATTTAGTTCATGTTCTGTACTGGGTTTGATCCATATGGGTATGGTTTTATAATATATTATAAATAGCTACTAGAAACACAAGTAGAAATAACAAACAATCCACCAGCAATCAAAAGTGAGAGAAAAACAATTATCCCAACATTACTTGTACATTGCTCAGCACAGCCTTTGGCCCAGGTATGTATGTTAACTCGTACATGGAATTAAACCTTTGAGTCAGAAATGTTCACATCTGTACAATTGCTTTGATTTCATCAATAATGAATACAAAGGTCATTGTTTTAAAAATTTTTTAGCATTAAAAAGTAAATTTTAGATGAGAAGAGTAAATTGGTTTATTCTTAGCATTACACAGCTATTCAACTTCCAAGTGACATTATGATTCAATACTCAAATGCCCCTTGAAGAAGCTTTTTTTACTTTCTTAGCTTCATCATTTAATAAATTATAATAAAGTTACAATTTACAACGTTAGTACAAACTACAAATACAATACCCAATAAAAAAAAAGTTTACTACACTCAGCAATAACACAAGCTGGCCATTTAATGTATAAAGATGAAGTTCAGATACATTGAATAAATGTAGTAAATACTGAACAAAACTCTTGGTTACTTGAAAATATTAGTTAAAATACGTAGGCCTAACCATACAAGGCTAGTGTTCAAAACGCATCAAACTCAAAGACGTTCACACTCGAGTTACATATTAATTATTAAATTACGCAATTTACAAACTACAGCACTGTTAATGATAAACTATTTGACTACTCGGGAGTAACAAAAAGAAAAGTACTAAAAGTACACCTACAGAGTAAAAACACAGATATATATCTATATGTAATCACACAAAAACACACCTCGACGTAGCACACCACCGAGGACAAGCCGCCATTTCGATGCTGTGTACAATTTTTTTTTTTTTTAAGAAATGATTCCTGAAGAAATACTAATATTTTATTTCAAGAATATACCACTAGGAACAATTTTCTACGTACAGACATAAGTTAACTAATGAATGTCGCATCCACATAAATACGCTGAGAAACATCGTTGTGACATTTTAGCTTGTTACATAAAACAATAAATAGGAAAATAATTAAAATTTTAATGGGAATTAGTGATCGTTGCTGTAATAAAAAGTAAACATACAAGTAAAGTGATACTAGTTGGATAGATTTTAAAACGATTTTCAATCCCTACTTTGGTTGGCAAATTTAGACTACTTTATTTAACTATACGGATCACAATGCTCTGGCCTACAGCTAAGCGTATAGAGCTGTCACAGTAGAGATTAAATTTTATACATTTGTGATTGTGGTTTTAATTCTTGTTTCATTACTTTTTGTAGAAGGATCCCTACTTCATTTTAAAATTCATAAATTATTAATACTCTTGTTTGTATACTTTTACCCTTGGAACTTGTCAATTGTTTATCCATTGATATGTTGCGTTATATGTTGGGGCAAATTGGAGTTAAGAGATATTTAAGTACGTACTTGATATGTTTACCATTTACAAAACATCGGTATATATATTTTTTATTTGTTGGAATATCAAACGCGGATACCCACAGAGCAGTCAAGTAAGCTGGAGAAATCTTGTATCGATAATCCGAGCCGTCTAAGGGTTAGTGCCACTGACGTAATCAGGTAGGTAGGTAGTAGACGAAAAAGTTGCTGTTTTATAACTTTTTGAATTGTTATACCGGACATGTTAGCGATCTTTTTTATCGTGTTATTAGTACATATGCGCATAAAATATCGTAACCAATACTCCGAATGGTCGGTTTTTTGTTTAGGAATTCGATAGGGTGGTTTTTTGGCTCGTGAATTATTTGGAAACCTTGGCGATCCATGACTTTATAAAAATTGGAAAGTCTCTATTGAAACAACTTGACCAATATTAGGTAATATGTGTTCAAAATTATATGTAATGAATTAAAACTATGCATATACACTGCTAAACCAAATTCCATATTAATTAAATGGTAGTAATTTTAGAGTTTTCTATTTTCCATGAGAAACTGAATTCGCCTTTAGATTCATTAAAGTTAAATACTAATAAAATATTTATTGGCACAGTTAAAAATATTTATAAAACTTATGTATTTAATATTGTTATCATCATTACCTGTTGGCCGTCTTTGATTGCTTGGAGATGGTCCACTTCTATGAGGTGAAATGCAGTAGTTTTAATTGTTTAAAAAAAACCTGCAAATCTGATCATTATATTATAATTAATCATCTTGTGTGATCCTCATATCTTGAAACACATATTATTATTCACTTGGTATTTTAAGGTAAAGGTGACTTCCGCCAAGAGTGAATAAAATAGATCCGCAAGGTAACAAGAGTTTCGACCATGTAATTCTTAATTCTCTGATTTTGTGCAATAAATTGGCTGGACACAAATATGCAAAGACACAATGAAAAAAATTATTCACAAATAAAAAAAGAGCGTACATCTACGTGACACAACAGACGGTCACCTTTACTGGAAAGCTCAAGACTTTTCCTAGAGCAGCTTCGGCTGCCACATGACTGGTCATTCCAATTCTAGCTTTATGGAGCTCATGACCTCAACATATCACCTGACTGACAAAAGAAAAATCTGCTGTCTTCTTTCACATATTTTGAACAACCTGACAGCTACCTTTCCCATGGAAAGACAAAGGTTGTTATCTCAGGAAATTGATACAGAACAATAGGTAAATAGATTAAAAATAAGTTAACAACCTACTTGACAAACGTGTTATATGGAAACTGCACACTCACCTACATAGATGAAAAATTTTAGAAAAATTATACACTATAGTAAGAAGGCAGAAAACGCATGGTATTGTTACGTATCTGCTTGTTTGATAATTTCCCGTAAAAATTCTTTACGAGAAACTTCAGCGATACAAGTCTTTTCTTAATTAAAACTAGTTTATTCCTTCTCGTTACAAACTTTGTAATACACTTAATTTCCACAGTCACTTTAAACTTAACTACTTTTATAAATACACGCTATAATTCACAGCGATTCACACACTTTACCTATGGTGCCTACTGCTCGCTTGACTCAATTATCTGTCTCTATATCTATATATCTGCTATTATTTCTCCGCTTTATTTGCCGGGCTTATATACTAAAAAAGACGGCGTCTGGAACAGACTAGAGTTGCCAGGAAAAGTCATGATCCTTCTAGAAACTCCAGCGCGCATGCTTCCAGCGTCGCGTGACTTCCGCTGTCGTAACAGTATTCTTATATGCTACCTTTATTGCATAAGAAGAATTCGAAGCTGGCCTGCTGCGTAAGTAGATATAATTATCAGGTTGTCTAAAACATGTATAAGTTTAATGAGCATTGATATTGCTTACAACTAGAGTTTTCAGGTCAAATAAGTGGTCATAATATTATCATCTAATTCATTTAATAGTTTATATACACAGTTAATAAAACAAAACATATAATCTTGTTGCAATAATAGATGGAAAATAACAAAAATTTAAAAGTATATTAGATTAATCTAAAACATAAAAACAATAGAACTGAACCAATAAGATTGCTTTTACCTTGACCATTAACAAATTTTTTACTACAATAATCTCATTGCTTTTGTAATCCAGAAAACTGATATTGGTCTTAAATAAATTTTATTTCAACCATTATTCAATTACCCAATTTCTATGTAGCCATATGCTTAAGTTGCTAATCTATTGGTCAGATGAACATATGACAGAGTCGTTGAAAGCAATTAGCACTACGAAGTATCATCATATCTTTGTCATTAGTTGATACAATGATAGAAAATAGTAAAACCACTATTTGATTCTTTAGAAAGACATTGGCTAGATTGAGAAAATTGTTTAATTAATAGTTACAAAAATCCAGCAAGCTGTTAATCTTCAACAGTAATATCTATAACCACAAATGTGTAAAGGACTTATTTGAATGTATCAAGCATTTAATATCAATTGATGTATGATGATGTGCTTCTGCACTAGTAGATGTAGACAGACTGCCTCTGGCTTGCTTGCCATTACCTTGGTAACCTACACGGACTACCTGCTGTTCACCTTATTTCACTTTGTAGCGATAGCTACTTTATTGTATCGTTCTGCCATCTAAGGACTATTAAATACAACACGTTTTTCTCGGGACTTTGAAATAAGTAATGACTGATAGAATTCGGCAGAATTAAGACTGGTAAGTCAAACTTCTTGCAGCTAGAATAGATATTAGTGCTGCCTATGAACCTTTAAGCTCACCGTGTTTTATTGAGATATGTAATGATTGGCAGAATGCAGCCAAACTTAGAATTGTCAGTAAAATTTCTTGCAACTAGGATAAGTACTAGTACTGTTGCTACGATATGTATCAATACACATTCATATCAACCTAGGGTAAGTAGAATATTCCGCAGTGAAATACATTTGCTATCCTAGACAGGCACCGACACATCTAGCCAACTATCAATATATTGTGTCATTGTGAGTTGATACAATCACTTCAGTTGGCTTTACAGAAATGTAAATACAGGCAAATCCATAGAAATGAAAAACTATTCCACTCAGATTCAGAACAAATCGATTTACATTCTATGCTGAGAAAAACACAATTTCGTCACTACTCATGGAGTAGTCATACATGCTTAAGTGCACTTGTTAAATTCCAATAAGTATCACAGGGCCTGCTCCATAGAACTTCTGCAACTCGGCTAGATAGTGTGAATGAACCCCAGGAAATGTCGACAAGCATTTCGCCATAGGAAATGACACTATAGCTTGGAAAAGTAAGGGTTGCAGCAATGAGTTTTGAACTCCTAGCAATCTCATTCGGTCCTGTAGATAGTTGATGTTCTAGATTTACCTCTACTAACTGCAACTGCCCTCATAACTGAGAAACTATCATTTAATGTCATGCAGATAATATTTTTTGAAACTCTGCTCGATAGCTCAGAAAGTAAGGGTCAAATTGTCTTTTCAGTCTCAATCAAATTACAATCAGAAAATGTAGCATATACATTTCATTGTGAAATACCACTTGATAGCACAGAAAGTAAGAAATACCACTTCCTTTGAATCATTTATTTTACTATCAGTGACTATCAGAATTGTTAATGGCTGAGCCAAGATCAGGAAGCCATCTTCATTTTCTCATTCAGTGCTCTTCTTCATCCCAACACTTAATTGAGTCAAATACTAAAACATACAGTTTCAGCAACAGGCATTGAATTTCCTGTCACCATCTGGAATATGTAAGGCCCAAATCTTGGGGAGAATTCTGCTTAACCTCACTCGCGGGAAACTGTGAGGATGACATAAGCCATTCTTCTGTTGACCATCGGCCAACATTAGGCTGAAGAGTCCTTAACACTGGGGAGGGGCAAAGAGAGCATGTACATGGATCCCTACACTTAATGATAAGTCTCTTCCCTTGGGTCACAGAATGGCGAGTTATCCGAGGTAAAGAAGGTGAAACTGCAAATACAGGTTCCTACAAAAAGTATCTAAATTCAGGACAGCACCATGTAAGCACAGTTCTAGAGAACAAAAAATTCTATTAGCATAAACATATTACTTTCCAATCACTACATTTTAATAATAAGTGAAGTACAATTTGAAGCAAATACAAAGCAATGCCATACAGATATTATTTATGGAACAAGACCATACAATTATAGTCTGCATCAACGTGTGTTCAAACTGTATCTTGTAATATAATAAAAATGTTAAGAAATATTTGTTAAAACTAAATGTTTATGAGATATTCAAATATACATTTTAAACATATCATATCAAAACTAAATAAAGCATTGTAAATACTAAGTTTTCTTTTGGCAGAACACATACAAAGACGGAATACATAATGTCCAAACAGCCAATTTTACTAAGAAGAATCAAGCTCCATCTGACGACTGTTTCATCTTAACAAAATCTCTGCAGCATAGTGTT